CCTAACTCTGTTTTATATATTATCGACAAAGGCAGAGAGACATCCACGAAGGCCTTTCCTGGCTTATTTGCCGTCGCCAGGTGGTGATATCCAACTCCAGTGTAGCAGCGGAACTTACAGCCACACTCGAGTTTCGAATTCGCGTCTCTCCGGACAGGGGCCAACGCCCTAACCATTGAGCCACGAGTCCGCTGTCTTGTCGGTTCTTGATAGGGAGTAAAGACAGTAGTGGGTCATTGTACAGCGATCGCAACGGCATCAACGAGGATGGGTACATCCTGAAACAGATCAGTGTACAATTCCCCACTACTATACTTAACTCTCTATTCACTCATCCACCTGTGCTCGGTGTCAAGAAGACCAGAGTCGGGATCGGATACTGGCGGCCAGAGCCACCAAATCTGACTCAGATTCCAGGAAGTAGAAGTGCCATAAAGGCCACGGGTGGCTGGCGCCGGAGGCCGCACCTACGCGTGCCACCGGCGCCCCCCATGGTCAGCATTTGTTACGAGAGCGCAACCCTGTCATGCACTGATCTGTCCCCCCTCCCCTCCCCATGTTGATCCAACGCACTTACCCCATGGCCCGTTTAGGGAGCACATGACAGAACACATGTGTGCATACATCCGTGAACACAAATAGTTAATTACCCAAAGAACGGAGGAGCTTGCGAGGTCTTGGTGCACTGCAAGAAAGTTGCATCCATCTGGACACTTTTGGATCTAGCAAATGTTTTTGCGGGAATCTCATGATCCCTCAGTCAAGAAGGTATCGTTCTCCCAATAATAACTAGTTGGTGCGTTCCCAGAACTTTTCATCATGTCCTCCAGCGCTAGCAGCTGACATTGGTATATATGCATTCAAAAATCAATTTTCCTCATTTTGAATAGTCATGGTGAGAAATTCGGAAATTTGTTTTAAGCAAGGACGAAGTGAAAACATCGCATTTCAACCCTTCCTTGCCGCGCCCCCTCTGCATAGATGCGTATTTCGAGCAGCGAATACGATTGCTTGATAGCTGCTAGTCAACAGACGCGATTCAGTTGATTGAGTAAAACAAACATTAAGCCTGCAAGACTGCCACGACTCCAATAAGAAATGCAGGGGGTTACTGATATTATATCCGGTTCTACAAGTCGATTAACTAGTTCGCCTCAGAAGTGGGAACCCTGCAACTAAGCTTTGTCCTGTCTTAATTTGAATTGGCCGCAAGCAAAGTGTGGTAGATGGAAGATTAGCGTGAACGTTTAGACATCGGTATAGGTACCTACTGGAATTTATCGGAAGAGCACTTGCCATGCCATAGGGGTACAGTACAGTAGCTGGCCCATCTCATGAAGTGCTGACCGGATTTCTGAGTTGTTTATGCGATTAGAAGTTTACGTAGAAAGTACGGGGATATGGACCGAATTACATTGAGATTAACGTTTCGAAACCACGTGACCAGCGTGAAACACAACCTCGAGCCGGATATCAACTCACGTGGGCATCAACAACGGGGTAGTCAGTCGGTCGACGAGGAGCGGGCCAGTAAGCACGCTGACGTGCTAACAATCACTACGGCCACAAAGGAGACAAATATCAGATGAGCCCATCAGCGATCAATCTCACGGTCAGTTAGCAGTGAACAGGCAGGTTAAAGTTCATGCGTCGAACACGGGTATACTACTAGGCATGAGGCAAGGCTGAAACGACCCCGGTAAACAGGATAAATCACCGCGTTACTCTGTTGATGTAATCAAGAGAGTGTCCGAAACGTCAGTCTGAATATAATTCAATCCATGTATTCATACTTTCTTCGTCCTCTTCTTTTGGGGATGATGACAATGATAAGATATCTCGAACTCAAATCTTCACGCTGAGTTGTAAAATTGATTTCTGTGCAGCATAATCCATCAGTTTTTCAGTGACGACATGACGCGCCTTTTAGGGATTTTTCAGCCGCCTACGAAAGGCACATTCGGCAGGAACAGCTAATTAAGTAGTATGCATTTTACATTCCGATTTTCAATCCAGCAACTAGCCTTTGTTGTTCTTATTTCGCAGATAATTACCTCCTTTTTAACTTTTACACTTGAAGAATGGGCATCGCTCGGTCAACATCCACACGACAGTGGCCCTTGCGTTCAGGTTTCCAAAATATATGTTGCATACTTTCTCTGTAAGGCAAATTGCACATTCTCTGCGCTATAAATAAAAGAAAAACACACTATTTTGAAAGTCTAATCCTATAGATGTCTTAGAGGGCTCGTATAACGGATGCGGACCGTATTCGATACTTCATAAGCAGTATTATTTAACTGACAGATACTGTGCTATATGAATGGACATAGCATGTACTTAAATATTTCATAATCGCAAACCGAAGAATACCTTTTCTCAATGTATAGAAGTCATAAGGACGACCAGTTTGGCCTCACAGGCAGGACATGGGAACAGAAACATGTTGCCTGTGTCCCATTCCGTGAAATTAAGTCTAGGACTAAAGTAAGGTTATCCATATAGTTAGGGTCAAGGTTTGAGTTACTGATAGTGTTTAGGTTTGCGGTGCTCGTCTCCGTTCCTTTCTTCCCTCCTCTCT